TAGAGACAGACAGACAGACAGACAGACAGACAGACAGACAGACAGAGACAGACAGACAGACAGACAGGTGTGTTCCTGCTGATGAGAGTTATCAGGTCGGATTAAAGAGGAAGCTGTGTCACATGCTAAGAGACAAACTTCTGAACTGTGACATGTCAACAGCTGACTGCAGTGAGGGGCTTTTATTGTGAAACAGGAAGTGAGTTGTTCAGTGCAGTTGTTGCTAAGGAAATGACTCTGACTGATGGTTGGTTGTGGACTGATAAAGAGGCTTTTAATTTGTAGGTCAGTTAGTAGACTTTTTAGGGGCAGGGCCAAACTCTTACCATGAAAAGGGCGGAGTCATCTGTGTGGGTGCAGCGTCTGGAGGGGTAAACGGTCTGAACACACACATTAACACACATTAACATACGCGGGTGTGATGCGCAGGTGAACAGGTGAGCTGAGGATGGAGTGTGGTCTAGATGGAGAGGGGAGGGGCTAAAATGTCCAAATTCCTACAGACCAATGAGGAGTCAGGAATGTTCGTTGATATGAACTCTTCACGTGAACGCGACATGACAGCTGCACTTGCAGGAAGTGGACACAGTCCTAGAGGTTCACATCTACCTCTGACATTCATGAACTGACGGACGCTGTGAGCAAGTGTGGAGCTGATGTCACTTCACATCTCTATCAGACATGTTCTCATGTACAAATACTTCAAACATGAAGTTACAAACTGTTTCTTCTAATGTAGTGAATCTGTTGATGTGTTCAGTTCATCAGCATCTATTGTCCTCACACACAGACACACAGACTCACCTCACTGTCTGGACTGGACTTTGTTGGACTCTGAGCTGCTTTATACTGAAAAACAACAACATCAGTGAGATGTTACTGTTTATATATGAACATTTTATTAATTATAGACAGACAATAATCAACGATTCATCCATTTCTACAGAAAGATGCTTTTTAAAGTTGTAACCAAACAAAAAAGTTGAAGATGTCGACTGTTGAATTTAAACAGGAACTGGACAGATAAGACTTTTATTTTGACAGTGGTCAGTATTGTGGTCTGTGGTTGTTTGAAGTGGTCTTACCTTGGTGTGACTTGCGACAGAGCGGTTCTTCTGTCTCTCCTCGTCGTACCTCAGAGCGGCGAGCTGAGCCTCCCTCCTTATTCGCTCCACCCCTCCTCTCTGGGGGGTGAGCAGAGGAGACGGGAAGGAGGGGAAGTGAGTCAGCAGCAGTTTGAATTACTGAGGTTCAGTATCAGACAGAAGAAGGAGGTGTTACCTGAGTTTGAGTGGTAGAGGGTGCAGTGACACCATCGACCACACTCCTGAGAGAGAGACAGAGAGAAACAGTGTGAGAGGGAGAGAGAAAGAGGGAGAGAGAGGATGTTAGAGAACACACAGACACGAATAAATCTGGGTGCATGAGGGCTGGGCAATAAAACGAGAAAGATAATTATTGTGAACTAACTTTTCCTCGATAGAAATATAAGACAAGTCGATAGAACGCATCCATGTTTTGACAGACAACAGGAACAGCGCTGAACCAATAACGTGGCTGAAATAGAGTTACAGCGACGTCAGGTTAATGCACACAGAGCGCAGCAGCAGCACACGTGTTAATGTTTGGGCTCCTGCAGCCGTTCACACCAGCACATCAGCAGAGGAGAGAAAGAGAAAATGAGACAGAGAAGGTTAAAGCTCCAGTGTGTACGATTCAGGTGAAGGGATTTATTTAATGTAGAATAATCCTCCTGAAGTTTTCACTAGTTTGTTTCATCTAAATTGTTTGAATTGTAGTTTTCTTTACCCCAGAAAATGGACGGAGGGGGGGGTTCAGGTGCAACATGACACTTCAACACTAGATATCACTAAATTCTACACACTGTACCTTTAAACTGGAGCAACAGCGTTACTGAAGAAGACAATGGACAGAGGGTCAAAAGACGAGGTGTTGTGGCTGTTTAAGGTCCGACAAGAAGCAGACTTATCATTTACTGCAAAGTGATGTTCCCACAAAGAGCTGATACCACTGATCTTATACGAAGCAGCAGGAATAGTTTGATTTATATCGTGATAAACAAACATCAATATCAACTGATAATTTTTGTGGTAAGATTTATTTCCATTTTGTGTACAGTATAGTGTGTGTGTGTGTGTGTGTGTGTGTGTGTACCTGTTGAGTTTTCTCGTGTCCTCCGTCCTGGACGAATTGGATTTGACTGGAGAACCCTGGACACAGACAGAAAGTGAGTGAGGGTTTCCAAAATAAAGTTCATGTCTGCTGCCTAAAGATCCACCCAATCTGTTGATTGACAGTCTCATCCATCATCACGGGACCAATTCAAGAGCAGCTCTCAGAATCTGCGCAGTGACATGATGCTCGTACCTCTCTGGTGATGCGTCTCTCGATGTACGCCATGAATTGAGAGCTCAGACTGGAGGTGTCCCCGCCACCTCCGCCTCGACTCCGCCCCTCCTCCTCCTCCTCCCCCACACAGCTGTCGATGAAGTCGATCTGCTCCAGCTCCGCATCTGGTCAACACATTGATCACATCCATCAGTTTTAGTTTGTTCTCAGTTTTCATGAAAATTTTTGATCTCAGATAAATTCATATCTAATTTACATTAAGTCACTGATAACAAGAGTCAGACTTTCAGAATAAAAGCAGCACTTTAGCTTATTTTCCGAAGGAAGTGGTCATCCATCTGACGTCCATCTTTGTTTATAGTGTTTTGCGTAGACGTGTGATGAACAGAAACTCACATGTTCCATTAGGCAGCAGTGCTCCTCCTCTCGTTCGCGGGTCTCGGCCGGTCTCGGCCACTCTCTGTGGAAACTCCGACAGTTCCTCTGTGGGCTGAGTACACAGACAGGAAGTGAGGTCAAACACAGACAGGAAGCAGAGAGCAGTTGGGGGTATGTGTATATGTGTTTATCTGACCTCGTTCCCCGACCACCGTTTGTCTCCACTGTCGACGCTGTTGAATCCTGAGTCAAGTGCTCCGTATGGACGTCCTGGGTACAGCTCATCCACACTGACACACACAGACACAGTCAGAACATGTGAACATGCAAACAGCAACATGTTTGTGTGTGAGTGTGTGACCAGTTCACACCAGGAGCTGAAGGTCAGAGGTCGCCTGTCGTAGTCTGGGAGATCAGGGGTCGTCTTACTGGCCTCCAGGTTCAGGTACTTAAATATGTGGACCTTACCTTTAATACAGATCTGCAGGGACAAACAGGATGTGACATCACAGTCTCGTAACCAACAGAAAGTCAAACACACCGCTGCCTCCAGCTGGACGAGGGCCGTGACGACACTGTCGCTCACCGTACCTGTGCAGGAGGCGTCTGCAGTGGGTTGTTGTCGAGGACGATGGTCTGCAGATGTGTGAGTCGTCGGTAACAGACAGGGATGGACGTCACTTTGTTACAAGAGAAATCCAGACGCACCAGAGGGAGCTCCGCCAACTCTGAAAACAACAACACAACTCACAGGTAGACACAACATTCATTTTTATACAAGCTTCCACTCTGTGTGAGGGTGTGTGTGTACCTGGCGGCAGTCTGACCAGGTGGTTCCTCCTGATGTTCAGGTCTCGTAGCGCCTCCAGCTGACCCATCTGAGACGGTAACATCTGGATCTCGTTACAGCTCACATCCTGCAGAGGGCAGTCCACACAAACATCAGAGTGATGATATACACATATTCATCTTCACACCGATGATGACACAGAACCTTTCCTCTTTATTCCAGATTGTGATCTTTCAGTTTGAGAGCAGGACTTTGTGATGTCACAGATGTTGTAATGCTTTCTCTCTTAACCCTGCATTCACACAGCTCCTGCTTGTGCTTGGATTTCAAACTGTGTGTTTGCACTCAGATATTTTTCCTGTTCTCCAGCATTAAGTCTTATCTTGTCATCTTTTAAAACAGAACCCTAGGTGTAGTGATGACAAGTGAAACAGTCCCGACCTCGTTTTGGGTATGTTAGCTTTATGTCTTTGAGAGTCCTGTAAAGGGGGTTACTTTAACCAGACAGACAGGTAGACAGACAGAAAGACAGACAGGAAGACAAACCAGCTCAGTGAGATGTCTCAGTTGCCCAACTTCTTCTGGCAGTGAAACCAGTTTGTTGTTGCAGGCGATCAAAACCTTCAGAGGAAGACTGCAGATGACCACAGGGAGGACAGACAGCTGGTTACGACTGAGAGAGAGACAGACAGAGAGAGAGAGAGAGAGAGAGAGAGAGAGAGAGAGAGAGAGAGAGA